CAAAATCTGGTAAACAAAGCCATTTTGGGGGATTCATCAATATAAATTTGATTTATCATTAAACTCTTAGTAAATGGCAATTATTTTTAACACATTAGAAGTACAAAAGCAGAAGCAGATAAATATAACACGCTTATTTATATTATTATTTTTTTATTTAAGATAAACTAATGACTTCTATTCAAAATACGACATATATAAACAAACTTACCAGTCCTTGTTCAAACAGTTCTTTTTCTTCTGATGTCCACTTTAATGAGTAGCCAGCTGATTTTGTAGGCGATCGCACCCTAGGAAAATAGGAAACAGAAGTCAGCGCTTTCTTAAAAACATATATTCTTAAATCCCAGTAACTGAAGGCAACTTCTGACAGGCGGACTACTCCCCATTTTCTGTAAAACTCAAGGTATTGTTTTAAACATGAATGTGGCTGATAAATAAAATATTGAGAATCATATCAGCTTCTCCATCACAAAGGAAGATTCAGGGCAACACAACATTCATTAGTAACTAACGGTACAGAAATACACAGAAGCAGCATACAGAAATGTTCAGGCAAGAAAGCCGACTGGGATTAACAAGGGTTTTTTTCATAAGGACCACTGTGCTACGTAAAAAAAAAACCCAACTAGTTTACTACAGGCCTATTATTACACATAACATTTCTTTGCGTTGAAAGGTCTCTTCAATAATTTTGTACAGCCAAACAAAAGGAACTAAGGAACTGTAACTTTTTTTTTTTTTAAATAGTGCCCAGTAACTTAACAAAAATCAGACACCACACTTAAAAATGCAACTCGATCATTAAAAAGTACGTACATGACTTTTCCAGTTTTCTTATGTGGGCTGCAAATAAAAAACAAGGTGAAAATAAAAATTAATAACGGTGATGCTGTTGCATATCTCAGCAAATAACCTTATTTTGGAAGGACTTTTAATTTCTTCTCATCTAACTGAGAATTTTTCCCAGAACACAGCTTACCTTTTCATAGATCTTTTCTCCACTTCCTTTTGATTGAGCCATATTTTTTCAGAAAGTGATTTATTAGATAAGTAATATCTGAAATAGTTACTAAGTAAGTTTTCGAAGCATCAGAGGTATATGTACACATGAGAATTCTAGTAATCATATAAATTACGCTCATTCATAATTATTCAGCTGTAGAAGCAAATACTGCACTGGTTTCAGAACTGAAATATACAATTTCACAGACTCCTACTAGTTTAATGCAGAAGGAAGTGACATTTGACTTCTGAACCTCCACGCTCACTTTACTTGCAGCAAACTAGGTATCCTGTTTCAACAACAGCATTTTTCTTTTTTGACTTAGAAAACTTACTAATTTTCATTGTACTGATACCTTATCTATTTTCAAATTAAGCCTCAATAATTCAATTTATTAGGAATTAGCTTTATTTTCTTGTTCCTCTATTACTGTATATTCCTACACTCAATTACAAAAAGAACATGAAAACAAATTAGCTCATGATTACTATTGCTATAACCTACCTAGTCTGTGAGGTCAACTTATGCCAGAAACCCTACTACTGGTAAGACTATTTAAGCCAACACTGCTTAAAAAAAAAAAAAGGAAGAAAAAAAAAGCAGCAGCTGTTCCTTCCCGTTTTCGTCTTGCATGCTGGCAGAAGTATGAATGTAGCCAGACAAAATCAGACAGTAAACCAGTCCAAGTGAAGAACAATTCAGCAAAAAGAATTAGCTATTTTTAGCCAGATCAGCTCGTTGATCAGGTTCACTATGAAGCCACACAAATGGCTGCATCAGCACAGTGCTGGAGGTGGCACTGAACAAGCAGCTGAAGCGGGGACAAATATTGCTATTTTTGGTGCCAGCGCCAGCTTAAATCCAACAAGCTTTGGAGTAAATTTCTGAAGAATCAGAAGCATCAGAGGACACTGCAGGGAGCTAGATGATTAATTCAGGGGTCCTCCTTGATTTCGGCAATCTATCTACAAGATGGCAGTGCTTCAGTCCCTTAACAAGAAAAGATTTGTCCAGTTCCTTTGGAAACAGGAAGTTTTCTATTGTTAAACAGGAAAACATACAAGCAAATCAGCAAAAGGATACTCTTCTTCCAGCAACATTTTCTCAATGACGGCCCTGTTTTCTTCACTAATGCTGTTGTCCAATGTCCATGGCTGCAAACAATACAAATATGTTTTAATATTTGAATTCTGTCATGCTGTTACTTGAATATCAAGAATATATAACAGTTTCCAAAAGTAAACAAAAAGCACTGGTTAAGAACCTAAAAGAGCATGTATGTGGAGGGAAGAGAATGGAGAAAACAGAAGTTCTGATAACCTTGCTAGGAGTACCATTCATTTAAAAAAGTACTTACGAGACTGTTATCAGTTCTCCAAGATGAATCGAGATAGTGATCCTGCAACAAGCTTGAAGCTGTGTTTTCATGATCTCTGAAAAAGATTCCAGTGTTCAAAACAACGCAAACATATTCAAACAAAATGAATGCTGTCAGAGTTAAAATAATGGTGTAGTAAATAACAAAAACATTAACAGATGACAGATACTAAAATTAAAATCATATATTGCAGACTATTATATAATGTTACTCTCTTATAATTTTCCATTAGACACAGCATAAATCCCCCTCATTAAGTCATCTTTCTTAGTAATCTTAATAGCAACTCCTCACCTATCTCATTGCAGACTGTATGTGATACCAGAGAAACCATGAACAGTAAAAATTCTCTTCCAGAAAGACTGAAAGCGGGAGGGACCATGTAAAATATACACAAATGAAAGAAGCCAGAATTTTATGGAAAAATAAATAACTATATTTTTAATATTAAAAGTGTCATTGAGTTGTATTATCTCCACTTAACATTTCTCCATCTTTCCCCAAATAATGTAAAAACAACCCCTTATAAAGAAAAAACTGTTTTCCTCCTGAGGAAAGCTCATACTTACACAAGGTTTAACAGAATCTTACCATACAGAATTGTTAGTGTTCTTATGGACTTCATCCAGATTATGCTTGATCTTTTCTGTAAATAACTACTTACTACTTTTAGAAATCTGTCACCAATTAACACCATTGATCACCTTTCTTCTATTTTAATGCAGCCTAAATCTCCTTAGTAATTAATGTAATTTTTCATTCTTTGCTTCCAGAACATTCACACTTTTCTAAAGACTAATTAGCCCTATATCCCTTGCAATGCTACTAAAATTAAATTCACCTACTCTTCCGAACTGCTTTGTGCCAGCAGTTCAAACATCTCTTTATAGGAAAGGATAAATTCTCATGTACAGCCAGAAACCAATATAACTCCTGCTTCTTTTGGAGCATATCAAGAGGTGGGTCTGATCAACAGTCCCCTTTGCCCAGTATTCTGTCTCCAATGGTTGCAACAGCAGATACTACTCTAGGACAGCATGCGAGTCCAGCCACTGTCTCTGACACAATCCTCTTATAGTCTCCCAGCATCCGCAATTGCTAGATTTGTAGTGTTAGAATTGCTGCCCACTCACTTCAGCATCTGTTTACAGATCCCTTATCTGTGAATGTGTTGAATCAGTTTTCTGACCCTCCCTATGTTCAGTTTTCTGAACCTATCTGCCTCTGCAAGTTCACTCCCAGTTATGCACCACAGCACCTTCTGTCTATGTATTTTAAAGGAGCTTTCTAGCAGTCTCACCAAGCGTCCCTAGTTCACGTACTGCTGGATCCGATGACAGCAGTTCTGCATTCACCTCACTTTAATGATTTCATAGGCCCCATGCTCAGTGCCCTGCCCGATGATGCTCAACATTGGCGCCCCCCCGCCCGCAGCGGCCCTCAATGA